CCTGATATACTGGTAGTCTCATCTCATTTCTTGAGGCCCTAAAATGTCAGGACTAGAGATGAGCGAATTTTTCAAAAATTCGATTCGGCTGATTCGGCGAATTCCAGGAAGAAATTCGATTCGATGCGAATTAATTCGCTACGAAGTTAACTTATAAAAAGGGTTTCTAGGCTTCAGAGAGCCTTTAAATTAGTGCAGAACACTGTACCTTTAATTTAAATGCCCTTGGAGATGAGGAAGGAGAAGGAGAAGGAGAAGGATGAGAAGAAGGAGAAGGAGAAGGATGAGAAGAAGGAGAAGGATGAGAAGAAGGAGAAGGAGAAGGAGGAGAAGGAGATTGATGAGAAGAAGAGAAAGGATGAGAAGAAGGAGAAGGAGAAGGATGAGAAGAAGGAGAAGGAGAAGGATGAGAAGAAGGAGAAGGATGAGAAGAAGGAGAAGGATGAGAAGAAGGATGAGAAGAAGGAGAAGGAGAAGGAGAAGGATGAGAAGAAGATGAGAAGAAGAGAAGGATGAGAAGAAGGATGAGAAGAAGGAGAAGGATGAGAAGAAGGAGAAGGATGAGAAGAAGGATGAAGAAGGAGAAGGATGAGAAGAAGGACAGTTCTGTGACAGTTTCTGTCTATTTCTGACAGTTCTGTGACATTCACTCCATAGCGCTGTTTCAACCGCTGTATTGAGGGAATGTCCCAGAACTGTCAAAATAGTCTATTTCTGACAGTTCTGGGACATGTATGGAGTGAATGTCCCAGAACTGTCAGAAATAGTCTATTTCTGACAGTTGTGGGACATTCCCTCCATACAGCGGTTTCAACCGCTGTATGGAGGGAATGTCCCAGAACTGTCATAAATAGTCTATTTCTCTGACAGTTGTGGGACATTCACTCCATACAGCGGTTTTCAACCGCTGTATGGAGGGAATGTCCCAGAACTGTCAGAAATAGTCTATTTCTGACAGTTCTGGGACATTCACTCCATACAGCGGTTGAAACATTGTATCTATTTGTTTCCATAAATGGATCCATTTATGGAAACAAATAGATACAATGTTTCAACCGCTGTATGGAGGGAATGTCCCAGAACTGTCAGAAATAGTCTATTTCTGACAGTTCTGGGACATTCACTCCATACAGCGGTTGAAACATTGTATCTATTGTTTTCCATAAATTACATTCTGCAGATACACTTAGAGGAGCTCTGCAGATACACTTTTTGCGGCTTGGAATTATTCTTATTTTCATCCTACTTCTTCTTCTTCTTCATCCTCATCCTCATCCTCTTCTTCTTCTTCTGAGGATGAGGATGAGGATGAAGAAGAAGAAGAAGAAGTAGGATGAAAAATAAGATTAATTCCAAGCCGGCAAAAAGTGTATGTGCAGAGCTCCTCTAAGTGTATCTGCAGAGCTCCTCTAAGTGTATCTGCAGAATAGAGGAACTCTGCACATACACTTTTTGCCGGCTTGGAATTATTCTTATTTTCATCCTACTTCTTCTTCTTCTTCTTCTTCTTCTTCTTCATCCTCATCCTCTTCTTCTTCTTCTGAGGATGAGGATGAAGAAGAAGAAGAAGTAGGATGAAAATAAGATTAATTTTTTGCCGGCTTGGAATTATTCTTATTTTCATCCTACTTCTTCTTCTTCTTCTTCATCCTCATCCTCTTCTTCTTCTGAGGATGAGGATGAAGAAGAAGAAGAAGAAGAAGTAGGATGAAAATAAGATTAATTCCAAGCCGGCAAAAAGTGTATGTGCAGAGTTCCTCTAAGTGTATCTGCAGAGCTCCTCTAAGTGTATCTGCAGAATAGAGGAACTCTGCACATACACTTTTTGCCGGCTTGGAATTATTCTTATTTTCATCCTACTTCTTCTTCTTCTTCTCATCTTCATCCTCATCCTCTTCTTCTTCTTCTGAGGATGAGGATGAGGATGAAGAAGAAGAAGTAGGATGAAAATAAGATTAATTCCAAGCCGGCAAAAAGTGTATGTGCAGAGCTCCTAAGTGTATCTGCAGAGCTCCTCTAAGTGTATCTGCAGAATAGAGGAACTCTGCACATACACTTTTTGCCGGCTTGGAATTATTCTTATTTTCATCCTACTTCTTCTTCTTCTTCTTCATCCTCATCCTCTTCTTCTTCTTCTGAGGATGAGGATGAAGAAGTAGAAGAAGAAGAAGAAGTAGGATGAAAATAAGAATTCCAAACCGGCAAAAAGTGTATGTGCAGAGTTCCTCTATTTCTGACAGTTCTCTGACAGCTTCTTCACATGTACAGCGGTTGAAACATCTGTATCCTAAATGGAAACTAATAGATACAATGTTTCAACCGCTGTACATGTGTTCCTTCTGTCAGAGAACTGTCAGAAATAGCGGAGCTCTCTGCAGGGACACTTTTGCCGGCTGATCGGGAAAAATCCGATTCGCGCACCCGAAGTAGGCAAATATTCGGATTCGACGCGAATCGAATTTTTCCTGAAATTCGTATCGAATTCCGGTTTGCCTGGTTCGATTCGCTCATCTCTAGTCAGGACAGTACAAATACTCCAGAGCAGTACAGTATCATTATATGACTGGTGTGATCGGGGATACTGACTGGTGACAGTTTGTAAAAAAAAAAATAGTAATTTTTTTAAAAAAAAACTTTTTTCTTTTTTTTTACATTTTTTTTTTTACAATTTATGTTTACCTACTGTGACTAGAGCAGTGCAGTTTTACCATAGTGGCACTGTACTACTCTGGGGTGGTGATCAGGAACTGTTTTTTTTACACTATGTTTTCCTATAGCAGTGACGATCACTGATGAAAGCATTCATTATTATGAATGGCATCCATTCATGTGCCATTATGTACAATTGTGATAGCTGTGATTGGTCACAGCTATCACACGGTACAGGTGCACTGTGATTGGCCCTGTTTTTACCATATCATCACTATGAACAATCACAGAGATCACAATATTGATAGCTCAGACCCATCTCCCTGCTCCCATTTACATCTAAACTCCTCGAGCGCCTAGTCTACACCCGCCTATGCTCTCACCTCAACGACAACAACCTCCTCGATCCCCTACAGTCCGGCTTCCGTCCCCTACACTCCACCGAAACTGCCTTACTCAAACTCTCCAACGACCTGCTAACCGCCAAAGCTAATGGCCACTATTCAGTGCTCCTACTCCTTGACCTCTCTGCGGCCTTCGACACAGTCGACCACCCCCTCCTCCTCAAAAAACTACACTCCCTCGGCCTCAGAGATTCTGCTCTCTCCTGGCTCTCATCCTACCTGTCACAACGCTCCTTCAGCGTTACCTATAATGCTACCACCTCCCCCTCACTCCCCCTCTCTGTTGGGGTCCCTCAAGGCTCTGTCCTTGGGCCCCTTCTCTTCTCCATCTATACCTCCTCCTTTGGCCAACTCATACACTCTCACGGCTTCAACTACCACCTCTATGCCGACGACACACAAATCTATCTCTCAACCCCCCACCTCACCCCCTTGGTCTCAGCCCGAATCACACACCTACTGAGCGACATATCAGACTGGATGTCGCTCCACTTCCTTAAATTGAACCTCTCCAAAACCGAGTTTCTTGTCTTCCCCCCAGCCCGGACACCACCCCCCATTGATTTCTCCATCATGTCCAACATTGCTACCATCAAACCCGCCCTGCAGGCCAGAGTACTGGGTGTCATTCTGGACTCCAACCTATCCTTCCAGCCCCAAGTCCAATCTTTAACAAACTCGTGCAGACTCCACCTCCGCAACATCGCCAAAATCCGCACGTTCCTAACACCAGAAACCACTAAACAGTTCATCCACTCCCTCATCATATCACGACTCGACTACTGCAACTCCCTCCTTACTGGCCTGCCTCGCCGCTGGCTATCCCCGCTTCAGTCGATCCTGAATACGGCTGCCAGACTCATTCACCTTTCCAACCGCTCTGTCTCCGCCACCCCCCTCTGCCAATCCCTCCACTGGCTTCCGATTGCGCAACGGATCAAATTCAAAATCCTAACGCTGACGTACAAAGCTGTCCACCATACTGCCCCGAACTACATCACTGACCTAATATCCAAGTACCGCCCAGCACGCACACTCCGCTCCTCACAAGACCTCCTTCTCTCTAGTTCCCTGGTCTCCTCCTCCCATGCCCGCCTCCAGGACTTCTCCAGGGTGTCACCCATCCTCTGGAACTCCCTGCCCCAACCCATCAGATTATCACCTACTCTCCTCTCCTTTAGGCGCACCCTGAAAACCCATCTCTTCAGGGAAGCCTACCCCACCCCCTGCTAACTTGCCGACCTCCTCCACTCTTCCTACCACTCCATCCCCCACAGCTATCTCCTCCTGTGCCACCACCCCCTCCCTCCTAGATTGTAAGATCGAAAGAGCAGGGCCCTCGATCCCCTCATGTTTTACATTGTATTGGTATTGTTCTGTCACATGTTCTGTCCCCCTTTGTAATGTACAGCGCTGAGCGAACTATTGGCGCTTTATAAATACTGTATAATAATAATAATAATATTACACAATGAATGGCTGTGAATGAAAGCTACTCATTATGTTCATTTGACATGTGATCGCTATGATTGGTCATTGTACCAGGGGAGTACAGGATTAGAAATCTCTTGCTCAGCCATCATTTGACTATAGAAAGGTAGTCAAGGAGCATTTCACTGACCACCAATGTAAGGGAACACTACAATTTTAACTGTTTGCATTTCTTTTCTGGACTTTATTATTTTTTATTTAATTTAATTATTCTGAAAATAATTATATAGAATGGGTGTCGCAGTATTCCACATTCTTATATTTTACCTTTCTGTTCATACTAATGTTCATACAAGCTGTAAATACAGTAATTATTAGGAAGATTCCTTGGGGCCTTAAAGTTATGTTCAAGGGTTCCGTTATGTTAAAAAGACTGGGAAAAGTTGATTCATTTAGTGTTTCACTACAGGACACAGCAGTGATGTAGGGGTCAGAGCAGGGGTGGACTGACAACTCATGGGGCCCCCGGGCAATAGGGGATCATGGGGCCACTGTGTCCTTGCCCAAACTCAAAAAAGCCTATAAAAAAGGTACCAGGGGCATCTCATAGGGCCCCCTACTGACCCCGGGCCCTCAGGCAGTGCCAAATGGACAGTTGGCCCCTAGGTCAGAGGAAGGAATCACAGTAGGTAGAAAAGGGACATCCTGGACCTACATACCCGGAAAGATCACATAGAAGCAGAGTTTTCCTGTCTCTGGCTTCAATACACCCCTTGTCACTGATCTGAAACAAGCATGCAACATGTGAATTTAAAATTCAGAATTTGGAAATATTATACTTGTTTTAGGTCAGTAAATCAAAGTAGGGAACATATTTCATTTTGATGACATCCAGGCAAATGGCATTTTTAATAATACCAACCTGTGAGCTTGTCTCAGCCACATTTGTTTTTTTCTAAAGAAAGTGCTAAACCCAATTATTTTGTCATTTTCTTTAATCATCTGTACAGAATTTGAGACATTTGGCAATATATCACATTGTGGTGCAGCCTGTTGCTTTAGGTGAGCTAGCACTTGTAAGCAAAAGATACAACCAAACTACATTTGATGGATTTCTCTACAGAATTACTAAACAGAAAGTACGGTAATTTGTGCATTTGAAAATATTGCTGTGTACCAAAGCAAATTTTAATAGAAAAGGGGATGACTGGATTTTCTAATGTTTGTTTTTGTTGTCTGTGTCTGATTACGGAGATTCACCTTCACTTCCGGTTCTGGGCAGTTGTCACCCGAACAAGTGTCCGCTTTGGAAGAATTGCCATCACCTTTTCCAAAGACAACAATGAAATTAAGGCTTTGTCACTTCCTATCCCAGTGACAATGATCACAAGGACAAATAGAGAAGATGAATCTCCCAAGCATGAAAATAACAATAAAATACTGGCAGAGGTTTTAATTCTTTCTTCCACCAAATCATCATAAGAGATGCCCAGGTCTCATTGCTTGCAGTGATCAAGCTGTTTTCAGAACTCAGTGTTGCATGCAGCTCAATCTCTTCCCACGTTCTTTCAATAATATTCTCCTGAGTTGCTGAAATAGGCACCATGTCAATCCTTCTTCACAAAGCTAGGTGACAAGGACTCAGTGGGGTGTGACCGATTCTGGCCCTTGATTGGTGGAGCCCTAGGGGTGCCCCCTTGTCGCATGACTCTTTGACAGCAGGTGTTTCCTACATGTCATTAAAAATAGAAAGGCTTTAAGAAGATAAACTATTGTATGCATTCAGTAATTTACCTTGTGTTGTGATGCTTTCATAAGTTTGAGGATTTCAGATAAGCGGAATAAAGAAATTCATAGACAAGCAAGAGTCATCCATCACTGAAACCACCAGAAGCTGCTGCACTGCATCTGCAAACTGAAACATGATGAGGAAAGAGAAGAATTGGAGCCAGCCACACCTAGGCATTCTGAAAGCATTCTGCAGATCAGGGTCTCCAAACTTTTCAGTGGGAGGGCCACATTACATGCAAATATTTGCAGGATGAAAAAATAAAAATTCTTAGATGAACTAATCAAATTTAATTGAATACATTTTACTTTAACTTTTTTTTTTTGATCTGCATTATTTTAATTTGAGCAGCAATAAAGAAAAACTTCAGTAAAACAAAGCAAAGAAATTCCAAATTAATGTGAGCCCATCAGAGTACCTCTTATATTAGGGTCCCCCTCTATGTCCCCCCTTAAATCCTGGTCCCCATCAATGTATCCCCTTACATCTTGGTCCCCATCAATGTCCCCCATTACATCCTGGTCCCCATCAGAATCCCCCCTCATATTTGAGTCCCCATCAATGTCCCCCTTTACTTTCTGTTCCCCTTCAGAGTCCCTCCCTACATCGGGGTCCCCAACAGAGCCCAACTTACATCAGGCTCCCCATTACAGTCCACATCAGAGCCCCCCTACATCAGAGTTTCCATCACAGTTCCCCTTACATCACAGTACCTATCAATGTCCCCCATTACATCCTGGTCCTCATCAGAGTCCCTCCCTACTTCTTGGGGCCCCAACAGAGTACCTTCTTATATCAAGATCCCATCAGACCCAGTCCTTACATCAGAAGGCTGGATACAATCTTGCTGCAGTTCAGATTTGGCCTGTGGCCTTAAGTTTGGAGACTCCTGGTGTAGATCATAACTCGGGCTTGTTATCATCCCCTAAGGAAGCCCTTCACAGTTGGACTCTCAGCTTGTTATCTCGTGGACACAATTACTGTGTTACCAGGGGCGAACTGACCATTTGGAAACTCGGGCACTGCCCGAGGGCCAGGGGTCAGTAGGGGGCCCCATGAGATGCCCCTGGTACCTTTTTTCATAGGCTTTTTTGAGTTTGGGCAAGGACACAGGGGCCCCATGATCCCCTATTTCCCGGGGGCCCCATGAGTTGTCAGTCCGCCCGTGTATTACACTACATTTCGTGAAGCATACAGTATATTACATATGAAAAGCTATAAAAACACTGTCAAAATTGAAGCAAAACTGCTTTGAGGGAAACATGGATTTTTCTATTGCTGACCCACTATGAAAATACTAGCTGCCTGACTTTTTTTACCCACAGCCATCAATATTTCAGGAATACATTGCAGTAAAAGGTGTCCTGCACCAAGGAATTTAAAAAATACCTTGCGTAACATATTTTGATCAAAAAAGCAGCAGCACAGCATAAAATCTGAAAAATGGCAACATTTCAAATCCACATTAGTTCATTTTAAAACCAAGCAAGTACTTATTTGGCTTCAAAAGCAACTAGTGCAGGCTTGAAACATTGTTATTTTTTAGATGTTAAGCTGTGCTGCTTGTATGCTGCAAATGTTCTGGTTATCCATGTAGAGGATGCTGGTAGGTTTGGACGTGTTTGGATCCTAGTCTGAGCCCAAGTGAGCAAACCTGCCAGGAAGCTGTCACTGTACTGGGCCAATCATCTTCAGCTAGGGCATTTCCTTCTGCACAGCTGCATATATACAAGGGGCATGTATACTTGTGGCTTAGCAATGGGGAATACCCCGGCCAGAGATGATTGGATCAGTACAGGTGACAACTTCCTGGTGGGCTAGCTCATTTGGGTTAAGACTAGGATCCAAACATGCCCAAGCTCATCTCTATTGGTGACTACAGCTCATGGCACTCTGCAGCTCAGTAGATCAATACTTCTCGAGTTACTTATCCATAACAAGTATGCAGAGTAAGAAAGTCAGATGTCCATAGCTAAGGCCCCAGTGGAAATGTGTAGGAAGGCTCATAAATGACATCACATGCCTTGCACATTAGTAGATTCTGGCTTCCATGGTTTGTCTGGAAGATGATTTAATAAACTTTATGTGACCTGTGCAGCACTTGCACTAAACACTTCATATGACTTTCCTGCTATGGTGGCAGCCTGTGCTTACTAAGGAGGACCAGCTGTGTTGGAGCAGACTATAGAGTGTGTCTCAAGTGTTGGGGATCCCCTATATCATTACTATGTCCTGCAATGACATGGCAAGAGAATGTCACCAGCATACCACAGATCTCCAGAACGGGTCCAAAGCTTTATTCAGTGATCACATCATTATGATAGTTATAAACCCATATCCCTGTCACCACCTCCTAAAATAAAATAAATAAATGACATCACAATTTCACCATCAACAGAACTAAAATCATCATCATCCTGTGCTTTTCTGCAAATGAGTCAATTGTGCTTTTGGATTTCACCCTCCTGGGTATTGCCAGTGGTTATCAGCCCATATCTTCTCCCACTGTTATTCTCCAACTCTCTTTGCCACAGTGGAAGCTTTACTCCTCCTGGAAGCTTGAGTCACTCAAACAGATAATAGGGGAACAGGAGGGGGAACCACCATAGTTTATCATAACTTTATTTGCTATTACACTCACCTGAAATCAAAATAAAACTGCATGTAGATCTGGAAGTGCAGCTGCGGCATGAGCTCCACGGGCCAGAAATTATGTCACCAAAAGTTCTACCCAACGCGTTTTGTCTGACTAATTGGCACAGGAAGTTCCAGTTCACATTTGATCTTTTATACCCACTGCTCTGCCTACTACACCTCTACATGTTAGCCGTTTCTTTTTCCTCCACACTTCCTACATCATTTCCTGTTAGGTGTAGTGGATTCATCTCTAATGTTTTATAAGCCCTATCTATGCTGTGTTTTGTGTCAATCATTCTAATACACAAAACATTTAGATTACTACTCAGGTTAACCACTTGACCTCTGGAAGATTTACACCCCCCCCCCCCCCCTCTCTTCCTGACCAGGCCATTTTTTGTGATACAGTGCTGAGGTACTTTAACTGACAATTGCGCGGTCATGCAACACTGTACCCAAATGAAGTGTATGTCCTTTTTCTCCACTAATAGAGCTTTCTTTTGGTGGTATTTGATTGCCTCTGCAGTTTTTACTTTTTCATTATAAACAAATAAATCTACTATAAAACATATCCAATAAAAAAAATTGAAATAGCATTTTTTCATAAATTTAGGCCAAAAAGTATTCTGCTACATATTTTTGGTAAAAAAAAATCCCAATAAGCGTATATTGATTAGTAATTGTATTGATGTGCAAAAGTTATAGCGTCTCCAACTGTGGGACATATACCGGAATTTTATATACTCGTAATGGCAGCGATCAGCGACTTATAGCGGGACTGTGATAATGCGGTGGACATTTTTACACTAACTGACACTTTGTGGGAACCAGTGACTCTAATACAGTGATCAGTGCCAAAAATATACACTGACTACTGTACTAAGGACACTGGTTGGGAAGGGGTTGACATCTAGGGTGATCATAGGGTTAAGTGTGTGCCTAGCTATGTGCTTGGTGTACACTAGATGGCGCTGGTACAAGAGGAAGTGTTGGATCATGTTCCCAACTCTGCAGGGACACAAGATCCATCACTTTCTCCTGTCACAACAGAACAGTAAACATAGGCACAGCTCAGTTGTTCCCTGCCCGACAATCTGCGGGTGATGACAAAAATCCATTTGCCAGGACTCACAGATTGGCTTCTGCTGTTACAGTTCACAGCAG